CATGTCGATGTCAAAAAGCGCACCACCCGGTTCCGCAAAGGTGGCCATGGGTCCCACATTTTGTAGGCGTCTGACATCGTTGTAAATGAGTATTTTTAGTCGTTCGCTTGGCGTTTAATTCCGTATTTCTTCAATTTCGACTCTAAGGTAGACAGTGAGCAGTTGCACGTGTGGTCATGATTTATGGCCAACAATGTACGTCCATTAGAGAAGGCTTTAGGCCGAGGCGTCCATAAGCAAATACGGTCAAGTAGAAATCTTCATGTTCAGATTTAATTAATGAATCGCCTCAACAGCGGCGCGCCACAGGTTAGGCAAGCTAGAGCCTAAGTACGGTTCGATGATCAATTGAAAGTGACAAAAAGTATCTTAAAATAAGATTTAGTATCTGAACTTGGAGATATCCAACTGATTAGCATCTATAACAAAAAGAGCAGAAAAGAGGAGCTATTAATTTGCTTTAAGTGTCCGCGTTAATGTGTGTCGCGCTTCTATGTAGTTCTCATGAGATAAGTTTTAGTGTAAGAAGACATAGGTATTCCTAAAGACTCTCTCATCATCTACATATCTTAAGCTGCCTTTCTATGCAATTCTCATTCAGTAAACCTTAATGAGTAAAAGAGCCGCCATAAAGCCCAACCTTTCTGCTTTCAAAATGTTCTCTTAAATATTTATACCCACTGTTAGACCTTCGCCGACTCGTTATACAAGCGATCACCCTTCTATGCAATTCTCATGAATTTAAATAAGTGTTACAGACTGTTACACTTTTCTTAAATCTATTATTCTTCTCTTAATATTGTTGGTCTAGCATTATTTACGTAAATTTTCCTTCCTTTTCCGATTGTTATTTTCCAACGTCTTAAGCTTAAGTATATTATCAATTTAATTAGGGGCTCATTCAGCTGCATTGAAACAAGTTTGGTAATATAGTTGGCTTGGCATGTACGCAGTCGTTAGCTAATAACTCAAACACAGTCGTGTGTCGAGTGCAGAGTCGGGGAACGGGTTAAATTAGCATACGGCATCAAGCATACGCCCCGATGTGCGCAGACGCACTGCATGCCCATGCCTCGACGGCAGCAGTTGCCCAGGATATTAATTGTTATAGTTGCGAGATGTGTGTCTGCTTGAATTGTTTCTGAGGCTTTGTGCGTTGCAACGAAATTCTAATCTTGTTGAAAACGTATCTCTTGCCATGCCATGCCGTGCCGTGCCATGCCCGCCGTGCTCTGTCAATGGCAGAGAGCCTGGCATTTCGGCTACACTGACACAAGGATTTCCGTACATGACAAGCAGCAGCAATAATTTATAGAGGCTGCGTAAGCAAGCTGCGTGGATGCTAAGGATGCAACGCACTGCCAGCCAACGACATGAGCACACACCACACACACACGCACACACACACAAAACTAGAGGCCTCTGACAGGCCGGACCTCCTTTTGGTGCCCAAACCCAAGCCCGAACCAAGTCGACTGACTGGCAGTGTCTGTATATTTGTTCTCGTCTTGTTTCACTTAAATGACACTTTGCATTCTTGTAGCATCTTGAATCTTAGGCAGGCCTCGCCAGTGGGTTAGCCTCCCCTTCGGTTGGGCTGGGCTCTGACACAGCCCTTAGACATCGAACGTCTCTCGCCTTTCTTGCCGCATCGTTGGCAACTCCCAACTGCAAACAGAGAGAAAACTCATCTACTGGAATTTCACTTTAATTATTTTCGGCAAATTTGTGTTCTTTGGTATGTTTATAATTGAGTGTGAATAGTCTCGATGAATATGAAAATTTGTGAAAATTTAATAAAACTTCTTCATGTGGTCTTAGCCGAAGCAGCAGCAGTGACTAATTGTTTTAATAGGCACAAGTATTTAAGCAATTTGCTAGCCAAATATCCAAATATACGATATGAATGCAACATATTTTAGAGCACCAACAAGCCAGACGAAATTTGTTTGTTTGAGTAGTTGAAAGGTTTTTATTATTGCGATAAATGTGATAAGGGTTTAGAGCACTTGTGGATCTTTGAGGAAATTTTCTGAAAAGGATATCAAGGATTTCTAACGGGCTTATGTTTTAGTGTTGAATTTCTATTTTATATAAATTTTTCTTGTCACTTAAATTAAACTTAAATTACTTATATTAGCTTAGAAATTAATCCCAGCTTACACTTGAATATATATTGCCTCTCTATGAGGGCGAAGAACGCTGACGTACTTAGTCTATAAATCTCCATCAAGAATATATTGGTGAGGTCACGTCTCCTTCTGTCTCGTATATGCACTTTCATGGTACTGTAATATTCCCCAAGTTAAATTTTCTGTTCAAGAGAAAATACAATTCCAAAAACTTAAAAATCGCAATACTTCTACTCCCAAACCTCTCTCAATTTATTTCCAGAAATCTTTCATATTTGCGATATTAATCTACAAAACTTCACCCAACTCTTATGCTAAGCATCTATCTAAACATATCCACTTTGAACCCTTTAAATATTAGCTCTCTAATATCAAATAGTGCCTAAAACTGTCAATCATAAATAACCACGATTTTCACATGATGTTGAAGGATAGCCCACACACGTTTCGATCGACCAACTGGTCTCTCTATATAAATATATACACAATAGCAATATATATGTATGTGTGTGTGTGTATTTTTTATACGAAACGGGTTGCATGCAGCTGGGAAGTTAATGCGACAAGTTTCCAAATGGGTAACAATTTTCAAAGTGATTAATTCGCCTTGTGGCTGCCAACGTGATTTTGAGCATTGGATTGATTTATTGCCGCGAGACGTTAAGTGGATGCAAGATAAGTTAACTGTCGTATATCCTCGCCGCTGGTGATCGATCCAGAAACAATGCTCAATCCGATTGCCGACCGAAGAGCGCCGGCCGACGACTGCCGCAGTTGCGGTTGCAACAACCAGCTCAGCCCCAAGACGTTGCAGCTACCATGGTTTATGGCCCATAAATGAGATCGCTATACGAAGCGCAGGATCTGGACCTGGCCGGCTCGCTGGCCGACTGGCTGACTGTGGCGATGGCATGTGATGCGATTAATTTAGCCGGCTTACTGATTGGCCGCATTTGTAATGGGAAATTTTATGCCCACTGCAGGTCGTTTAGCATTGTAAAACAACTCGTAAAGCGCACAAGGCTGCATTATGGGAACTATGGGAACGGAACTAATATCCCGCTGATAGCTTAAAACACACAGAGAGGGAGACAGAGAGGGAGAGAGCAGCAGTTGAAGAGGATTACATATAGAAACCGTTTAAGAAATTTGTATTATGGACTGCACGCGGCGTTACGTACCACTTAAAGACTTGCCTATCTATGTAAAGTGTGTCAAACTAAAACCAAATTAATCAGCTCAACTTAGATCGTCATCGTCATCGGCATCGTCGTCATCGTCATCGGCCAAATACGTCGAAATATATCGCAAGTTATTGCCTTCAGCGGCTGTCAATTTCAATTCAAATGACAATTTGTTGCATAATCGAGAGACTGCTGAATGTTAATTTATCAAATGCCGATAGTCGTTACAAATTGTTCGGCTCCCCCCTTCAAAACACCAGCCTCCCCGAACACACACACACACAGAGCGAGAGAGACTCCAAGTTGTAGAGTTTGACAGCAAACGTTTTCTCTGTCGCGTAATTTATCGTGGCTGTGTGCCAAAACCTCGCTTCGCACTACAATAGGGCTTGTGGCTCATTGTATATATGTATGTATGTATGCGCATATACATTAGGGGTATTCCGTTCTGTAAGCCTTCAGAACAGCTGTTCGGGCAATAGCAAAGCTTGGCTTTAAATAGAAAGGAGTTCATACTTGAGTAAATACTTGCCATCAATTTAAGGCCAGCTTTAGCTTTCATCTTCATTTTGCATTTTATGGAATGCCTCCACTCTCGTAAAGCTCATTTGCAAATCCCCAAATGTAGTACACAATGCACATTAAATTGCATTTAAGTAGCTCGCTTTCCACTCTCTATTAGCCCCTCCACTTTTTGCAGCTCGTTTGCATTAATGCGATATATTTTTTTAATGTACATGTCTCTGCTTTTCAGCTCAGCTACAAATGACATTTGGGTACATGGCTCGATGCAATGAATTATAATATGTAATTTATGTTAATTTCACTCTGCAAAAGAAAAACTGCAACGTTGTAAAGGTAATTAGCTGCGATTTCAGTGAAAACTTTTCAGCTAGACTGTAGGACATTTAAAGGCAGCCAGTTCAACTGGCTATGTAGAATGTTATCTATTGGTATTGCATATAATTTCTTATAGACTCAAGATATCTATAAAGTGAGTATGGATTTTCGTACTCTTTGTCGTCATTTTCACTTTGATTAAAAAATAAAAAATAAATAAATAAATAAATACCAAAGGTATACCTTGTAAACCTTATATTTATTTTTATTATCTCTCTCCTCATCAAGACTGTTAAATTCCTTCATCAAAAAGGTTCCATAGGTAAATTGTAAATAGCAACATACGTGAAAATTTTTCTACTTTACCCATTGAAGCTGTCTCTAAAATATTAATGGATTTCTGATAAGTCTTCTAGTCATTTATATCAGTTCAAACAAAAAAGTACCAAAGGTACATTGCAAAAACTTTCAATATATATTTCTGCTCTGTTCAAGTTAACTCTAAAATAAATAAAAATTCCGTTTTCACCAACTTCTAGTTTTACTAAAAATTCTTTTATCTTGAGGAAGCTACAAAAAAAATTATCCAAGGTACATTGTAAACATTTTCTATATTCGATTCCTCAAATAGATTTCTTCAATTTATTCCTCCTTTAGGAAAGCTCCTAATTTCTGGACTATAATCTCATTAGTAGAACTCTCACTTGTACTTCTCATATATTTAGTATATGCCCAGAAAACGCCAGCCATTAATAAAAATGCAATATTTGTTAGGATTACAAAGATTTATTTTATATTGAACGAATTTTAAATTAATTTTTAATATTATGAATTTATAGAGAACTATTGAACTATTATTTATTTGCATTTTCTTTTTTTATCCTTTTTTGTTTTCTTTAAATTTGAAGTCTGTTAAACAATGTAAAATTTATCACAGTTTATAATCTTAATGCTAAGTGTTTAAATGTGCCTGTATACAATTACAATGCGGTTTATAAAAGAAGCTGAACCTATTATAATGCTTACATCAGATATAGTTTAAGACAATGCACGGCTTTTCATTAATAATATATTCATTATTATTATTATTATAGTTATTAAGTTTTAGTACTTTTGGTACTTATGTACCAATGTGGTATATATATTTGTGTATATGCGTGTGTTTATATATATTAACTGTTAAATATTACACAATCAAATTACGTTGTTGCACGAGCCCAGAAATCTGCGGAGATAAATAGACTTCAATGGAAATAGCTGTAACGGTTAAATTTATATCAATTGAAAATCTTACCTAAATTATGTTATATACATGTGTGTGTGTGTGTGCGCTTGTGTGTATATACGATATTGCAAATACATAAGATCTTCAGTCCCACTGTCTAGACGGACGTCAGGCTAGGGGAGATTTATAAATCATTGACTGTACATGCGCATGGACTATTTTGAGTGAGTGTACCTCTTGAAGAGCGGCTTGAACATATTGTCCGCCGTCCGCTGCAGATGGGGCGAGGAGGAGCTGCTGCTGGCGCTGCTGTTGCCGCTGCTGTAGTCGTCCCTGTTGTGGCTGGCAGGGTATTCGTAGTCGTTGAGGCGCGTGGAGAAATTCATGGGATAGCCGCAGCCGGGATTGCTGTAGGCTGCATTACTGCTGCGACAGGTAGCGGTCATAGGGATTTGCGAAGCGGTAGGCAGCAGGCTCAAAGCTCCGCTCAGCACCTTCATATTCGGCGGAGTTTGGGGTGGAGTATCGGGTTGGGCTTCGGGAAACCCCATCGCCATCGCCCGCTGACTCGCTGTGGACTGAGATGGCTGCGACTGACGCACCGCTGGGTAGGGCCCCGATCCCGGCGACTCGGCCAGGCCCAGCCCCAGCCCCAGGCCCAATCTCATGGCCTCGCTCGGACTTGGGTTTGCCGTAGTAGGGATGGTAGGCGTATGTGTGCCGTTGGAGCTGCTGCTGCTGTGCAGGCCACTGGGACTGTACGGGTCTGCACTGTTCGTGCTCGTAGTATGAAGCTGCTGCGTCGTAGCCCCTAGAAAACCCCCGTAGGCCGTGGTATGCGCCCTGACATAGGGCGTGCCGTTGAACAAGTGGCTGCCCATTGCCAGAGGCTGTTGCTCCATCTGCAGCTGCTGCTGCTGCTGTTGCTGCTGCTGCTGTTGGTGCTGGTGCACCTGGGAGGTAGCCATGCCCTGGCCCTCCTGTTGGGACTGCGGATGCAGATGACGCTGCATAGACTGCTGCTGCTGCTGCTGCTGCTGCTGTGGCATCATTTGCCCGGGGCCCATGCATGCCGGTGGCGGGGTCTTGCAGGCAACTGTGTCGGCCAAGCTCCAGATTTTGGGCTTCATAGCTGGAATCGGCACGCCACAGTCCCGGCCTAGCTGGTTTTTTGGATCGCTATGCTCGCTGTGCTTGCTGGCCATGCCCAGGCCGCCCTCACCCGCATGGAAGGCAGCCGGCAGCACCGTCTGTTGCGGCTGATAGTAGGCGGGATGCTGATGGTGATGATGATACGGATTATACGCAGCCGGATGACTGCTTCCGCTGCCGCCATGATAGCCACCCGATGGATAGCCGAAGCCAGCACGCAAAATGTTCGCCTGGCCCAGACTCTTTTGGTCCTCGTCGATGAGGTCCTCCTCATCCTTGGCCACATCTGCAAAGGGGAGAGAGAGGGAAAGAAAAGCAAAGCTCAGCTACAATTGCCTGGAATACCTGTGCAATCGACTACCTTTGGCCAAGCTGCCGCCATGCGAGTCCTTGGTGGACTCCACATCATCCTTGTCCTTCTCATCATCCGACACGAGCGCATCGTCATCGTCATCCGTGCGATTCTTTGGCTCCCAGGTCATCTTGTTCTCCTTCTTGAGGCGACGACGCGCGTTCGCAAACCAAGTCGAGACCTGAGTCAGCGTCATCTTTGTGATGATCGCCAGCATGATCTTCTCGCCCTTGGTGGGATATGGATTCTTCTTGTGCTCGTTCAGCCACGCCTTCAGCGTGGCCGTCGATTCGCGTGTGGCATTCTTCCGGCGTGCAGCCAAATCGTAGCTCGCGCCATAGCTGATAGAGGGAGTGAAAGAGAGAGAGAGAGAGAAACTGGTTAGTGTAATGGTCAAGGCATGTATTTTTTTCTATTACACTGCGCTACAGCGAGCAAACATGAAAATTCATTAAAAATGCGAACAATTTAAATTGATGCTTTCATATGCAGAGCTAGAGCTCTGTACCACCCACAGATGCCACACCTCCAGTGTAGTACAACGTCAAAATATTGTAAAACATAGTTGTGAAACAGCGCACAGCAGCAACAACAACAACAGCAACAATGAGAACAACACTCAACAATAACGAGGACGACAACGCCATAAGCGTATGGTCAACTTTTTGGGTTTGGGTATGCATCTGGGAAACCGAGTCGGATGCAGAAGCTAGAGCAGGAGCAGGAGCAGGAGTAGGAGCGAGAGCAGCAGCAGCAGCAGCAGTAACAGGAGCTGGAGTTACTAGTCCCAGCCGAGCCGAGCCGGAGCCCAGTTATTGCGTTTGCATTTTTATCCAGCTCGCCTTCACCCACATCTGCCCTGGTCCAAAGCTCTGCTAGCTAAATTAAGCCACCCCCAGCCATGCGTATATCCAGCTGCAACTCATCTGTGCAACAGCTCCCCAGAGAGCCGACAGCAGTTTCTTTTTTTCCCCCTTTCTCCCTTTCAAACTTTTTTTTTTTTTTTTTTTAATTTTTCATGGGATTTTTATGGTGCCGCAGAATCAACAGTTTGTGCGGTGAATTTTACAACAAGATAAAGAAGGAAACTGTGCTGCCAGCATCGGAAGCTGCTGTGGACTCGTTGGTGTCGTTGTCCTGCCCCCATTTCCATCCAGCGCATCCTTTACTGGTTTTCGCATTTATATTCTCGTTTTTTCCTTTTGCGGTAAGCTGAATCTAACAAAAAACCAACAACAACAAAACAAAAAGAAGAAACGCGTCGTGGCTGAAGAAATGTGCACGATTTTTATGCAGCGTCGAAGTTGATGTTTGAGTTTTTGCTATTATTGTCTGGCACAAGGACGTTGGGCACTCACAAATTTGTTCGCTCACAGTGCGGCTCGTAAGTAAGTTGCCCGTCAGCTCGTCTGCCTGCCTGCCCGCCCCAATCTAAAGTCTGCGAAAAGGATGTAAATGCTGGCGCTTAAAGCTATCGATTTGCCAAACTTAACCAAAGAGACAAATTCAATCCTATTAAATTTTGTTAAAAAGCTTTTGTAAAAGTTTCGCAACTATGTAAAAAGGATAATGCATTTTGAGGGCGAGGTAAATCTGCTTTGTTAATGGTTAGAGAAATATACATATATTGAGTGTGATATAGTGTATGTCTGTTTAAGCTTATGCCTCAATGATATTAACAACTCTCTCAACATCGCTTTATCATAGCTTGCATTAGAAAAGTTCTCAAGAATTAAAGATGATGCATTATTTTCCTAAGCAATTTATAGTCAAATTATATTAGGAGTTTCTGATAATAAGATTGATGATATATAATAATGATGAAAAGTATTATAGGAATTTTTTCAGCGTCCTGAAACTCTTATGTTATAAGTTCTATTAGCACCGCTTTCTTTTTCACAAAGAATTATAGATTCTGGATAGCAATATTCGATGTATCCATATATAGACATGATCTGTGGTCTATTCATACATTATTCAGCTTCAGAAGTCAACAGATTAGCTTTATTATGTAAATGATTTTAGCTACACAAAAAACGGCTATTCGTAGCTATTGAGCTTTGATGAATTCTGTTTCAAATAAAATAACATATAGCAGGTCCACTGCGAGCTTTATATGTCTAGCAGACTAAGTCCAGAATAGAATTGTTAAAACACGAAAAAAAATGTAAGAAATCAAATTAACGCGCAATAAAAATAAAGAAATTAGCAAAAACAAATGGCTGAAAGGTGGAATGTGAAATGTGGCGCTATCCGTAATATACCTATATATATGCTATATATACTATGCGATACCATGCTATACTATATCATACAAGTAAACACCATGTTTATATATATGCGACCCATAAAGACTTCCAACAAATCTGGAATATTATAATCGGCTTTCGACAACAAAACGAACAAGCATGCTAAATATAGCTTGCGCACCTGTGCAAGGTATTTAATAGTCGTTGTAAAGTTTTTGTTTTATTATTTCATTTTTTTCTTGTTATTTGTTGTATTCATGTTGTTTTTATTGCATTTGCAATTTGCTTAAGCATCTTATGAACGTTAAAAACAAATGTTACGATTTCTGTAATTTGGTGCACGAAAGCTGAGCAAGCGAACATCGCAGTTGGCGATTAGTTCCCGCCGTATTATTATCGCGTAGGCTGACCGTAACCGGCGGATGCAGCCGCATGCAGGCGAGTGTGTGTGTGTGTGTGTGTGCGTGTGTATTTGTGTTTGTTTAGTGCGCTTTTGTTCTCTAATGTTTTACAATTTGACGAGCACAAGCGTTCATTTGTTGCTAATTGCCACGCATTCTATTTTTGCACTGAATGGGTGTATGCATGTGTGCGTGCTAGTGTGTGTGTGTGTGTGTGTGTTTGCTTGTGGCTGGCTTTTAAGCCAGAGTCTGCGAGCTCGGCCGCTGCCCATAATCTTGTTAACAAATCGAATTCTTGTTCACACACAAACAAAAACCAAAACACACAAAAAAAAACACAAAAAAAAACAATAACAGCCACGTCGCCAACGTTTTTTTCTAATAAATATATATCTAAAATATAATTTGTATGTATATGTATGCGTTTGTGTGTATGTGTACATGCAATTTAATTTTAGTTGGCAATTATAATTACATGTTGTTGTTGTTGTTGTTGTTATTATTATCTGTGAGTAGCAATTTACAGCAATGAACACACATTTTAAACAAATAATGCCAGGCACGACAAGTGACATTGGCTCCAAATGGACGCGCGGCAGAGCACTTTGTGCCCAACCACCCACACACAGACGCACGCACTCACTCACTCTCTCCATTAATCTCTCCCTCTCTCTCTCTCTCTCGCTCTTTGGCCACAGCCCGTTCTTCTTTTAAATGTCTGTCAAACGTGTGCACTCTCGCTCAATATGGCGGCCAACATGGCGTTCATTTACTCACACCTAGCGCTGCCTTCACTCAGCCAGAGTCAGAGCCAGAGCCAGAGCCAGAGCCGTAGCCATAGTCAAAGCCCAGACCCGGTCCCCAGTCTCAGCCTCAGCCAAAGTCAGAGTCTCAGTTGCAGTCGCCGTCGCCGTCGCCGTCGCAGTCGACGTCTCATACCCTGTTGCAGCTCAGCTTTCATGAGCTTTACGCACGCAACGTTCGTGGGGCAAGCGCGACGGCAGTTGCAGTTGCAGTTGCAGTTGCATGTCCGTTGACTGTCCGCTGCAACGTATCAGTGTCAATATTCTGCTGCTGCCGCTGCTGCTGGTGCGTGTGCCTTACACACACTTATATATATACATATACCCACACACACACACACACACACACACACACAGCTCACTGTGGCGTGCAATTAACTGCGATTATTTTCGCCGCAATCATAAATAAATAATTTCGCGCGCTCTAGCAATTTTCACAATTCAAATTTTATTATCGCCTCTGTCTGGCTGGCTGGCTGGCTGGCTAGCTGGCTGGCCAGACTCTGTCCCTGTCCCTCTCCCTCACCCTGTCCCTGGCCCTGGCCCTTTCGCTGTCTGTCCCCAGCGACGCGCAATTAAATTCAAATCAATTTGAAGTACTCGCAAATATATTTAACAATTAATTATGGGCGCACAATTGCTTTTGATTTGCCCCAGCTCTAGCAGCCCGCACAATCATTTATATAACACATATGTATATCTATGTGCATATATGGTAAACAGTTCCATAACTTACCCATATGCCGACATGGGATCGTAGGAGTAATAGCCCGTTGTGGGCTGCAGTCCAGCCGAGGTCCAGGCGCCCATTTCAGTGCCAGGTGCCGAGTCCTTTAAGCCATAGGGATTGCTCTGCAATGATTGATGCAAAGGATGAATTATGCTGATTTGATTGAATAGAATGCATATTTTAAATAATAGAAGTTAGCTTCAGTTGCATTTTAATATATTCAGTTAATCAAGTATTGATTGATGGCAGTCATTTAACTAGAGTGAAATCAAAGAATTAAATGTATATTCTTCTTCTATATTCTATTCTTAATTCAATCAAAAATCTCCTACCCAAATTTCAGATGGTTTACCCTTTCGAGCTATAAATCACTGCTTCAATCAATTTTTTAATTGATTGAAGTTATATGCACAACTTACGCTCTTTCTTCTACTTCTAAATGCCCAAACATCCCATGAATTATTTAATTTTTCTTTTTCCATAGAGAAGCTACTGCCCAAATGGAAACTGGTTAGCCCCAACCCCTAATTAAAGCTCGTACATCATGGCTTCAATCAATTGCTTGACTGATTGTAATCACTGCATACATATAAACATTTGCTAAATACAGTTAAGACAACAAAATTACAAAACAAAATTTAATTCGAATTATTTATTTTTTAAATTTTGTTTGTCTTTTGTCTATTCGACCTTAGACATAAGGCATAGGAGCTACGAACAAAATGATTTTCCCACAGTATCCACAAAAAAGTTGACGATTTTGTTAACATGGAATTTATAATTTGGCAACATATTTTGCCATGAAACAAGCGTGCGCTGACGTTGACCATATTTTATAGCCAGACAGTATGATGTGTATCCAAAAACATAATTTAGACCAACAACTCAAACAGAAACAGAAACAGAGATAGAAACCGAAACAGAAATCGACAAAAATAAGCTGGAACTGCGATTATTGTCGTTATGGGGTTCGAACACTCTTAATTTTAATATTGGAAGCGTATGGCCGCCATATGACCTTATAGATGGCTTATTTTTTTTTTTTTTTTTTTTTGGCGATTTATGAGCGACAACTATTGGTCACAGATCCATAGATCGGGGGCCAGATGGGCAGCTGAGCCCGTTGGGTTGGGAGTCTAGCGGCGAATCTGGTTGGCCGAGCCGACTTGACTTTTGTTTAGCCTCTTGATTTATGAAATGGCATTAACATTTTTAATTGCTTGACATCATGTATGCCATTGTTTATTAATTTTTTAACTCACCTTTTGCCGACGCCGACGCCGATGCCGACAGAGTGACAAATATATTTATCGAAATGTCATTCGATCGAAATATATATATTTATATAAATATATAAATGAGTTGGAAAACAGGGAAACAGGTATCGGATATGATATCGTTGACTCTCTATCTACATGCCCTGCGCGTTTCATATCAAACGAAGGCCGACCAAAAAACATGAACTCTGATTTACGAGATTGTCTGCCAGCTGCCTCGGCTCATTGCCTCTGCTCACTGTATTGTGTGAGCAACAGTTAAATGTCAGGAGATCTTTCACACTCCGTACTATCTATGAGTAGAACCAATTTCTAACTGCCCCGCCCTCCCACCGCTCGCCTCCTGCCTGAGGCGGTGGCCTCCCTCGACTTCTTATCGCGCGCTGAATGTGCGAACGCGCAGCCAATGATATTTTCTTAATTAAAAGAGGACTCGGATAAGAGCGCAACCAGCGCTCAGGTGCATATGCCAGGTGACAGCAAGGCAAAGGCAAAGGCAAAGGCAGAGGCAGAGACAAGAGAGCAGAAAGGGGAACGGCCACGATTCACTTTGAATTTCCTGTTCTTGTAAATAACAATTTAACATGACACATTGGTAGCTGCTTATTTGGTATCACGCAGAAGACTTCTCCCTTGCGCACTCAGTTTCTCACTTTTTACTTAACTCGTTTTTTCTCTTTCAAGGGGGGGGAGAATTACATAAAAGTCTTGTTTGGGGATTATTAAGTTAACAATTGGGCCAACGTATGGGTATGTCTGGAGACTGAAATTTCAAAGAATTTCAGTTTACAAACAGAAGTTTACTGGAAATTGAAAGAAAGAGAAACTCTAACCCCAAAGTTTTTGTACATTAATGTAACTAAATAGTTGACTATAATATATGGAATATATATGTATCTAAGTATATATGAAACCAGCTTGAACTTACATTGATAAAAGCTTACAGACTATGCAAACTCAATTTAAAGAAATTCTTCATCTACAACCTTCCTAGTCGTAACTAAATCCGAAATAACAAAAGACTTTCAGCCAATGCTTCGAATGAAATTTATGTTCAAAATGAAAAGCCCTCTTCCGAATGGAAAACCCTTTTCAATATTCACGTTTGATTTTCAATAAAGTAAACAATATTAAAATCTATATAGTTCTCGGCATTATTTAGAGACGGCGAGCTAACTGATTGGCCTATTAATTGGTAGCTTGTAGTTCGCTACAAAGGCCAAATATTTATGTTGTTTGTTTGTGCTGTCCACAGCTGAATGTGCATGCCTGTCTACAGCTACAGCTCGAGCTCCAGCTCCAGCTCCAGCTCCCTCTTGAAGCTCGAGTATGTCATCTAGTATGTCATTTAAAACTGTGTGCATGTTGGCCGTGTACATTTCTGTGGTCACTTAGAAAATACAAAGGGCACACACACACACACACACACAAACACACATACATACCAACACACTCTCTCATGTGAATGAGATGCATACAAAAGCATAAGCTCGATTAGCCCACACATACAAATGCATGGCGAGCTTCATCTGGGAGTGTAATTGAGGCCATGGGGCAATATGTTTTGTTTCCAATGATTTTGCCTTTCGTTGCGCAAAGTATCGAATATCACAATGGTAGTCAGCACAAGAGAAAGAGACAGCCACAGCAACAGAGAGACAGAGCCATAGAGTGGAAGAGAGGGAGCGGGAAAGGGAGAGAGGAATAAGCTCCGATACAAGCTGTAGCAGCGACTAAATGAGGTTTGACTGAGCTTCAGTCAGCCATAATGATAATTCGATTTACTCGACTACATTGACAAGCCGTTGTCCCTATATATACCCTTTCCCTTGAACTCGAACTGCGACTCGTCTACGTCCATGGCCCGACTGCTTTGTTTGAGCTCTTTGGCAACGTCTGCCCGCTGACTACACAATTAAAGTCATATGTGGAGATAATCCATTTAGCCGTCTTGGCTTTCACTTACCAGCGGCGAGTAGAAGGCGGAGCTGTCTACGCCGATGCTCTGGTAGGGGTTCTGATCCGTCGATGGATATGGCGAGCCATAGACCCCGACGCTGGCCGCCGGCAGGCGCGAATAGCTGGATAGCGCCAGCCGTGCTGAGTCGTACTGACAGGAGCAGACCGTCTGGCCAGAGACCGGATCGGTCATAATGGGACGGCCGTTCTCGCAGCAGGAGCTGCCCGTTGTAGGCGTTGTGCCCACAGCGCTGCTGTCCAGGGAGCCACCGGTGATCGCATCGGGGCCAGCGACAGCGCCAGCCACAGCTGATCCCGTGGCCGCATTTGAGTTCTGCGAAAGCGCATCGGGACTTAGAGCGCCCGTTGAGGCATCGCCTCCTCCTCCTCCTCCTCCTCCTCCTCCAGCTCCAGTGCCAGACCCAGGACCACCGCCTCCGCCTCCGCCACCACCACCCGACTGCTGCTGGCTCGCCTGGCAGTCGGCACCACCCGTGGGGCTCAGAGCCGGCGCGTTTGTCATCACCAATGAAGATGCATTCACGTTCGCCGAGACATCTTCAGGTGTCTGCGTCACATTCGGCGGCAGGAGCTGCAAAATACCAAAAACAAAAAAACAGAGATTGCAAACATTGAGACGATTGACTGTGAGCATTGCAGAGCATGTGTGTGGAGACGTGCGTCCCATTATCTTTGCACCACTTAGTGTCAAGCGGGCAAGCGAGCGGCTAAAGACTTCATTTAAAGTGGAAAAATTGTCACCCTCTTTAGATTCCCAATCTGATTCAGATGCATTAACAGATGTCCCAACTACCTGCTTAGATAATATTAATATAAACAACAGACTCAATTCACCCGCTTATCAACTACTTATGCGTGTCGAGTCGCCTTCAGCTGTTGTCCAGCTATCTTCTGCTGGCCACTGGTTTACATAATTAATGAATGTTTATCAAAGCCATTCCAACTTCATTCTCAATTCCAAACACAAATAGAAAACGCATTCAGATAAGCACCAAAGTCGTCAAAGACACTCGACTGACTGAACAGCCCATTCTAAGCAGCTCAGCGGAGACCTAAGTGGTTTCTGTTAACTCCAGCCACTTGAACGTTATCGCCATATCGCTTTCAGTTCAATTATTATAATTAAAAATATTAATTTTTTTGACATTTCCATGGATTACTATCAATATAACATATATTTGTTCTTGAACTAAAGAACATGCTGAACAAGTTTTAATTATGAGAGAAATATTACAGAATATAGGAGAGATATTCCATATTCTATGTTCTATATTCTATATGCTATATTCTATATTCTATATGCTATATTCTATATAATATATTCTATATTCTATATTCTATATTCTATATTCTATATTCTATATTCTATATTCTATATTCTATATTCTATATTCTATATTCTATATTCTATATTCTATATTCTATATTCTATATTCTATATTCTATATTCTATATTCTATATTCTATATTCTATATTCTATATTCTATATTCTATATTCTATATTCTATATTCTATATTCTATATTCTATATTCTATATTCTATATTCTATATTCTATATCCTATATTCTATATTCTATATTCTATATTATATATTCTATATTCTATATTTTATATTCTACATTCTATAGTCTATATTCTACATTCTATATATCTCTTCACTTCTTGGAAGGGGACATTCCAATATGATTCGATTGGCTAATGGCTAATAAGAAATTGGCAATTCAGATACCAAACCAGTTCAGCTCGAAACCAGTTACTAATCCTACTATATACACTAAGCTGCATAGTTATGTCAAGAATTATTCCATGAAATTTCATTGGAGAACGAGTTAGGATACTCTTACTCCAATAAACGCTTCCTCGAATACTTTTTGTTCTTCAACTACCTGACGAGAAGGCAATACCAGATCGGCTATTTACATATGTTCCCAGACCACTTGATGAATAGACATGATGTGGTCCACCTCAGCGAATTGCAGCAGGGCTCATAAATATGGATGGACGTATAATGAACGTGCTGGAACGTGTTGACTGAGCAGGAGGAGGAATCGAGGAAAGTAAGGAGGGCCGGTCGTAAGTTTAATTTGAAAAATCGACAGAAGGCCCCATTACACGATCGCACGATAACATATTGTAAGCGAATATGGTGTTAACACACAATCAGCGCCAGGGGCGATGCGCTACAGTACAGAAGCTGCAATTGTGGCTGAGTGATCTTATAATCCTGCAACCGATTAATCTGTCCGCCATGTTTGCCACATCGATGGCCGCCCATTGACGTATTGCTGTAACGTCGGCTACATCAATTACCCCAACGCAATCGATTTAAAGTGCAGCAGCAGGAGTAGCAGCAGCAGCAGGAGTAGCAGGAGTAGCAGGAGTAGCAGCAGCAGCTTGATGATGTTCACCATCTTGAAGCGTTACGCCAATGGCATGCGCCAGTCGCTTGGCCATGGCAATTAATATGCAAAATGCGAGCCAAGCCCTGGAACCCAGACCCCAGACCCCAAACCCCAGACACAGACCCAAAGACCAGACAGCTCCGTTCAAGATGCCAGAAATCAATGAGGGTGTGGCAGGCAACGCTTGCAGGCCAAAACACCGAAGATGAAGAAGATGGGGCAGCTGTACACATCGAAATGCTTCTGAAAATTGCCGCGGGACAATCTGCGAAACGAGGCGAGCTTCAACATTTTGCCAGAGTGTTTTCGCAATATGCCGATAAACCTATAATTAACTCGAAATACTTTGCTGATGGACAGCTACAAATTGATCGAATGCCGTCCAGCGACTATCAGACTAGCCCAAAGGTCAGATACGACGTGCATACACACACATACACACACACTGCCTGCTGCCGACTTCGGCTGGCTTACAGCTCCCGTCGTCGTTGTGGCCAAAGTCATAATTATCCTGGAATCATTAACATAATCTGTCGATTGTCTGCGATACGTGAACGGGCCGTGGCTGGGGCACTGAGGCCTAATTTTATAAGTATAGAGTCAAGGTAAGGTAAGCTACATGAAATAGATTTCATCCTGATTTCATAAATTAATAGAAAATATTGTTGTTGCCAGCGAGCGAGATGAAATTGTGACTCAGCCAACGGAGCCAGAGCGGCGAGGTCGAGGCGAGGCGAGGTCTGTCCGCATGTATCAAAGAACAACCATTAATCAAATTTCAACAAATGATTGATTCAATGTTATTTTTTTTATGTCGCGCTTTTTAATTAGTGAAAAATACGGACAAAAAACCAAATGTGAATAAAACAGAAAGAGAGGGGCGAAGCAAAAAATTGGCAAAGACGATGATGGAGCGGAGCAAAGGACATTCGGGCCAATCCACTGGCCAGTTCCCAGGCAGACAGCGGGCGCTCTCTCACACACGGAATATATGAGAATTATGACAACTGATCTGATAGGCGACACCATATAGGGACTTCTATGCGAATGGGCAGATTCCGCATGCATTATGCATGAGTGCAGCGCATCCAATGGGCAGCAAGTTGACTGCGTAAAAAGGAAGCTGCAGCCGGAGCTGGAGCTGGAGCTGAAGCTGTGGTCGGGGCTGTCGCTGCTGCTCGAAGGAAGCGCCAGCTGAGACCCACTCCGTTGTGGACATGGACATGGACAACAACGACTCGCAGACCCCGTTCGCTCTGTCTCTCTCCCTCTCTCTCTCTCTATCTCTCTCTTTCGCGCGCGCGCACGCGGGCTGCCTGATCTGATAAGATCTCGGCGCGGCCTTGCTGCGCGGCCCATGTGTGTGCACTACCAATTTCTGTGAATCGCAAACTGCGCACAGAGCTCAATGATCTAATCTCGACTGTTGCATCTGCTGCTGCGTCTCCAGTGCGAGGCCAGTTTGCCTGCCTGCCTACCTGACTGCTCCTCCTCCACCTCTGCCACCGCCGCCGCCGCGGCCGCCACCTCCTCCCAATTCTCCCACTCCTGCACTTCCGCAGATAACCAAGTTGATAGTGGAACTGCAAGCGCCACATGATGCGAAAGCCCGGCTCCACTCGGTAGCTACGAGCAATGGGAATGCAGCGCAATGTAAAGTAGATCACATCGTCGAGGCCCGCTTGTCGTCGAGTCGGTCGGCCGATCTGTCTGTCGATCGTTTGGCTCCGGCCACTCGATCGATGTTCGCCCGCCCGTCTGATGTCGGACCTCCGGTAGCCGCCACTGATGCCACTATCGGTGTGGCTGCATCTGTGCTGGGCCTCCTGCCTCCAGCTTCTGCCTCTGCCTCTGCATCTGCAGCATCTTCTCTGCTCTCATTGACTGCCTGCTCACGTACTCGTGAGCGCATGCGCAGGCGCATTCCCAGAGCCTGCTCTGAGCTGTCACTTTACGGTTATAAATTTTATGATTTACGATCGTTGCAATTGAATTTTATTGACTTTTCAACAGTTTCACATGCTCAACGCACTGACCACAGCGCCTGTGCGTGTGCGAGAGAGTGCAGCTGAGTGTGTGTGTGTGTGTGTGTGTGAGAAGATGCGTGTGAATGTATGGGAGTCTACATCGGCTTGCCACCTCCCACTCTCACCTGGCCCCCTTTTGATTAAGTTCCTAGAAACTACGGCACTTGACGTAGAAGGAAGTATTCTCTGAGAAAGAATCCTAACTATTAGAGTAGAAGATCATGGAAGAGAAGATCATTTTGGATCATATTTTAGGGCAATAGTAATATCCACAGCTGAAGTTTATCTCTCAGTAAAACTTTGAAATATCATTAGATGAAATGTCTTCTACCAACTAGTTGTTCTTACATATAATACATAGCCTATCATACTTTTACTACTAATTTTTTCTGATATTACTATGGGAGCACAATGAACGGGTTGTGAGTAGAGTATTGTATAGAAGTTTGCATAAATTTCTATTTAAGCTGAATATATGAAAGTTCTAAAGAAAATGCCTGAAGTATTTAGTTTATAGAAATTATAAAATAAAAAACATTTAGAAACCTACAAATTTTAAAAAGTGTTGACAATATCTATGAAAACCCATCGACACCCTAACTTGTGCACTTCAAATAGGGTTTAGCTTCTTAAGATCATAAAAGCTTATCACAGCGCCTTAAGAGCCTGTTATATCCCCTTCTTAATACATGTCCAAATACTTTTTCTGCTAAACTGAAAGACATTGCTTAAAGACAACAATATATCTAAACTACTTCACCCCAAGTGTTGCCCACCCATTGTTATGATGAGCTGCTTTAATTATTATTTAGTTCATTTTTCGATTCAACAAATTTGTTAACCCACCTGTGAGGCCGACGGAAAACCGCCGTATCCAAATTGTGTATAGGCGGCCATTGCCAAAGAGCAGCTCAAGTTGAAGCTTCGTTAAGATTTGTATTCGTTTATTGAGTTGTTTTGTTTTATTATTATGTTGTTTATAATTATTGGTATTAAACTTAATTGTTTATGTAGATAGCACTGCTGTTGTCTTTGCGCATCAATTCGTGCTTCAGTTCACCTCTTCGAGTTAGCTGTTCAATGTGACAATTTTACCGTTGGTTAACACACGCATAAACAAAATTCTAAACACGAGACTCAGTTGAACACAATGAAGGTGCGGGCGGGCGAGCGACCGAGCGACAGACCAGAATCAACATTGGGATTATTGAGCGTAGCAGCGACTGGCGACGACGACGACGACGACAACAATACCGACATAAACATAACCATAACAATTGCAACGCTTATCCGCACACAGACACAGACAGACGCACGGCTACACACGGCTACAGCTACAGCTACAGCTACTGCTACAGATACAGATGAACAGCCACTGGCACAGATACAGATACAAATTTCAGCTGCACGCAAACGCAAAACGCATACGCAAAAAACGAAACGGAGTCAGCGACAGCGACAGCGACGGCGACGGTGACAGCGACGGTAGCGCGCTCCAGATGTTCACCTATGTACGTTCGAACACGAACTGGTTGCGGATGGTTACTCACAACCGGCACGAGAGCTAATACGAATGCCGTTGCTCTGCGACTCAGTTCGCATTCCGTTGCAATCTCGTTGTGCAGGGCCAGAGCGAGACGACGCTATACTCTCTCAGTGGCGCACTCCAACTAGAATGGAAATGCTGCTTAGGCCGACGTTGGAAGTGTGCGGCGACGCCCTCTGAGCTTTGCTACTGGCGGTGGTGGTGGTGTCGACTATATCGTTCCAGTGCACACACGCACACACAAACACTCGTAAGCATGCTCTCGCCTTTCGCTTCTCCGCCTAAGCAAGGAGAGTAAACAAACAGCCACACACACACACACGCACGCACACTCATACAGTTACAGCAGCTGGAAGTGCGCTGCGTTACCCGCCAATCAGAGCGCGCCATTCGATTCGTGTATGACGTAGACGCTTCTGTTCTTTAGCGCTTCCTGTGGCCCTCCATTGACAGGTGCGACTTTTATTAGCACCATGCCATTTGAGCCAAACAAAAGAAAGCAAAAACGAAATGGAAATACGACCATTAATTACTTCTTATTTTCACGCTTCCCATGGCAGGGGTAGTGTTTCATTTTGGGCACGCCCATTTGTTTTGTTTGGCTAGTCGGCTGTTTGTTTACCTTTCTGCCGAGCGACTCTATGCCGACTCTCATTCAATATGAACAACGATCGTGACGCAGCAACAACAACACCAAAATAATATACAAAAAACTAAGTTGGCCTATATTTTTGCTGAGATAAGTATTCTTCAAAACAGATAAGCAGCAAAAAGAGTTCTCAACTTTTAACAGTTGCTTAAAGTAGAAACAATTTTATAAGTAATTAAAGTATTTTCTAAAAGTATAAGAAAATATATTAAGTACAAACAAATTTTTAAATAATTTTAGTATTTGTAAAACCATTTTTGAAGGTTCTTAAAATAAAATTTAAATATGGATGCATATTTCTTAAAGAAAAAAAATTAATTCTGTTCTTAGAAATAAAAATTAAATAATATAGAATAGAGCAAAAATTAAAAGAAGGATTTAAAATTTAGTCTACAAATAATAAAAAAAAAATCGTATTTAGATATAAATAATTATAACTGAAGAGTGATATGGTAGCCAGTATTATATTTAAGAAATAATGATTATCCATTTATTAACAAATAATCTGTTAGCTTCAAGTAAAAAAGGTAATGATAAAAAAATGTTTCTACCATATAGAACTAGACATCACAAAATGCTTTACCTTCCAACTTTTCCGTTATATTATTCAATAAAAAAGTCATAAAACCAAAGTACTTTAGGTTTTAAAACCTAGCCAAGGTATTTTTAGAGCCTGCTAAGTAACAAAAAGCAGTTTTGATCACATTTCATATCAAACTTCAGTTGCAGTTCAGGAACTCTGAAAACTTTTTATACCAAATCAAATGCATCTAAAATTTTCATAAAATATGAAAAATGTTCCACTTAAATGCGCTAGCCCCAAAAGCATATACCAAATATATATGCACCTTAACATATATATTTATATACTTAAATGTATATGCGTATACATATATATAATTTAACGAGCTGGATTTTTTTATAGTGGCAACACCCAGAGCGAACTAATAGAAAGACGTCACAGCGGGCGCATCAAGTGCGTATTCACTGTAATTTTTTTTTTTGTGGTCGCGCCGAGGTGCTGAAGCTTGTGTTTGGCAAACTTGTTTCTCTGTTTACTTTTTATGATAATGTCATAAAAGCGAATTAACCTATAAAACCGAAAAGTGTGCGCCTTACATGATGGAATTGCGACATAAGGTCTGGGCGTGTCCTTGCCAAAGCGAAAGATATATGGTTGTCAGAGAGAGGCCGAGGGCGAGGGCGAGCGTCGAGTGTGGGCTTAAAGCAGCAGCTGACCAAAACAAATGCAGGTTAACAAATTTAAAGGGATGCAAGAGAAAATCGCGAATGGGAGCAGCAGGAGGAGAATGAAAAGTGGTAGGCAGCAGCAGGAGGCGTTGCAGAAGCAGAAACAGGAAAAAGCAATAGAAGAAGAAACAGGAGGCTGAGCTGCAGGTGCAGGATCAGCAGGAGGTGAAGGGGAGGAGCAGGAGGTAACCAGCAGGAACAGCAACAGAAGTAAACAGCGGCAGCAGCAACAGTAGGATCAAAAGCAGGAGCAAGAGACGTAGGAGAAACTGCAGCAGCAGAGGTAGGAGTAAGAGCTACAGTTGTAGCAGGAGTCAGAGAAAGTGCAGGAGCAAGGGCAGAGGGGAGCAGCAGCAGGAGTAGCTACAGCAACATCATCTACCAGGGCCAGGAGCAGGAGCAGCAGCGGCAGCAGGAGCGGGAGCGGGAGCAGCCAAAGCCACTTCAAAGTGTCCCTCTGGGGTGTTAAGTACAATATTTGCTCTGTTGCGCGCACTTTTTGCGAGTCAGCTGCAATCAATCAATGGGTCGAACGCAACCGTCCAGCTGTGGACGGACCGATGGATGGTTGGGTTGGACGCTTGGAGTGGCAACCACATGGGGCGTTTCCATTTGCAACCGCCACACATTGACCACCCTCGGCGCTCAGTGCCATGCCCCAGAAGTAGTACGACACTCTTTCCCTTCCTCTTATACACTTTCTCTCCCCTCTCTCCCTCTCTCTCTCTCTCACTCTTTGTGCTTTTCTATCAATACTCAGTGCTCTGGCCTTAGGCATATCTTAGGCAATCGCGTTTTTTTGGCCCTTGCACAAGTATGAAATCAGTTGCCGCCACTTAAATCTATTTTGACAATTGAGCTGTCTGACAGCGTTCACTTTTCACGCATATAAATGTCAGGCAAATGCATCCCCTATCCACATACACACATGTATATACTCTGCCTTGCAGCATTCTCTCTCTCTCTCACTCTCTCTTTCGACCATTAGCTGGAACGCGCATTTTATGCTGTTTTAATTGCAACATCTGTCACTGCGGTTTATGCATATATCAATTTCAAAATAGCTGCCAAATGGCAACGGCAATGATTCGAACCCAAACCCGAACCCAATCCCAGACCCAAACCCAGATTTGAACCCATGCCCATACAGAAAGTACCACCATGAAAAATGAATTATTTTTATTTTTATTATTTTCGCCTCGCAAACTCATGCGACAAAACTGTCACAACATTCGCTTCTGACACGACAGCCCAGCTGAAGACGAGGGCTGTGTGTGGCAGTGGCAGAGGCAGAGGCTGCGGCAGTAACTGTGGCAGCAACACTCAATGTGGCAGCAGCAGCAGCAGCTTGACAAGGAGGATGAGCCACGCACTATGCGAAAGCATTGTTTTTTGGCATTGTTGCAGTTGTTGTTGTTGTTGTTGTTGCTGTTGTTGTCATTGTCAGCATTGCCGACTTTAATGGATGTCAGAATACATAAAAATTGTCAAAGGGAAATATGGCGCTGTTACATAATTGATTTCCATTATAAAACAACAACAAAAAATCACAAAAAATAAATAAAATTGTTTGCTCAAAAAATGATTTGACTGGTGTTTGGAGAGCAGCTTTTAGACTATTAAATAAAACATGGAAATTTATCATGTTTAGTTATAAATAACAAAGCATTGAGTTGGATTTATACTATATTTTTAGCCAAAAATAAAAAGTCCTAGCAATATGTATGCTTTATATAGTTATGAATAAAAGATTGAGTTATTTTGATATATTTATACTCTTGAAAAATGTCTGTAATAATATTCTACTATTAATATTTTGTATAATAATTTTCCCTATTGCCTAACAATTTTCTAATATTTTTATATTCTTGCAAATTAATGTCTAAGGTCCAGCACTCATATTTTAGCTTAAAAAAATATATATAAATAAATAAATAAAAATCCAATTGCAATAAATTGAAGCTATAAGAACTGTAACTCCATAAGAGCTCATAAGACCTTCAAGCCCATCAAAATATATTTAAGGCTGACAGAGATCTGTGAAAACAAGTTAAGCCATGCCAACAGATTTGGTCGTTAGCTCAAATCGTTAGCTGAAGTGCCTCATCCTTAGCTGGAAGACAAGTCATTATAATTGACAGCTTAATAGGCATATGATCGGGGCCTTTTCCAATTTCAATTGACAACACGAAATGTTAATGCAGTTAGCAAGTGCAAAACATTTAATGTATTTGCAGTTGGCAGACGCGTGTCGCGCGATGTAATTGCGAGAGGACTCTTAAGCGCCAGGGCAAACACAATGAGTGCCTTTGCGCGGGCTGAGAGGATAATGTTGAGCGGCTGCTCAGCAGCAGAGGATTGCCCAAATGAGTTTGTCAATCAAAATGCAAATGTCAGTGGGAAAGTGACATAATCCCACTTGGGAGCTGTGAGCTGAGAGCTCTGAGCTGTGAGCTGTGAGCTGAGAGCTGAGCTAAGCCAAACGAAACGAACCGAAATCCCGGTGCGAGTTAAAGCGTTTGACCGCAGCCGTCAGAGCGCAGTCGAGGGAGGGAATGCAACGGAAATAGCAACAGATGACGACGATGACGATGACGACGAGGATGACATTGATGTGTGAGCGGAGGAGAGAGAGAGAGAGAGAGACAGGCATGACAGCCATTGAGAGCGAGCGAAATGGCTAGATGGGCGGTGGGTGGGGTTGTTAAATTGCAATAATCGGCTCTTGAGCTCAGCGAAAGCAGCGAACAACGTTTATGTTTTATGTGCTCATTTATAATGCGTGCTGCTCATTTGGTAATGGTTCGATAATGACACAAGTATAAGCAAAGAGAGCGAGAGAGAAAGAGAAAGAGAGAGAGAGAGAGTACTTAAAAGGACCACCAAGCAATGCGTGGAAAACTGGACATCTGTTTGATAAAGCAAAATGTGTAGAGAGAGAGTGTGTGTGTGTGTGTGTGTCGAGTGTGTGGAGAGTATGTGCAGAGTTTCCCATTTGACAATAAATCTCAAACACTTGTGTAAGAGGAAACTTTTCTGACAGCTCTGCAGAGATCTGCAGCGGCAACCACGTCGATCAGCTTGCATGTAGCTTTAGGCGCCACTCGCCGGGGGTCAACAGGCGGCCGGAGGCAAAAAGAGACAAGAAGTTCAAATGGGAAAGAGGAAGCAGGCAAAACACAACTAGCCAGCCAGCCAGCCACGACTTCGATGTGACTGAAATAGATAGACACCGTCTGTGGACAGACCAGCAGACGGACGCAGTCAGTCTAAGTCGCCAGCAGAGAGAAAAAAGAGTCATAAAAGTGAATAAGCCCCATTCCCAATTGCCAATTATACTGCAAGCAGACCCCGCCATGACAAGACAAACGTTGCCAGCTATCGACGATCGTTGCCGTTGTCAGCCATTCGGCATAGGCCGACTGAGCGACTGCATGTGAGGGGCGCTGCAGCAGCAGCAGCAACTTGGAGCTTGGAGCTTCACGACGGATTCCATTGCGCGCCTGTCTACGAGGCCCCAAAAAAAAGTTTTCCCTCGACGTTCAAATTCTCCGGCGAATCGTGGCACAAAACGCCTCGAATTTACTTTTTTCCCTCTCTCACTCTTCCCCTCTCTTTTCTTATATAATATATTTCATTTAATTTGCGGCGCTTATCAGGCGCCAGGCCCAAAGACAATCGGTGACAATGGCTCAATCGTACTACAAATGAATACCAACTATCGTGCCATGGTTAACACACACTCACACAGTCACAATCACACACATACACCTTTGAGTGTTAACGTGGCGTTGTCAAAATTATTTAGATTTCAGACTCGATTTTGGGCACTCGCCGTTATGTTGTTTTAGAATGCAAGTTTGCTTTAAGTTTTATGTCAGCCAATTAATCGAAAAAATCAACTAAATAAATATGTATTTTCCAAATACTTATAAAAACGTGCTCTTAAGCTGTCTTCTACAAGATTAGAACTTCCTCTTATAATTTTGATGTATAGACCTCTTTTTGTCACAGTTATCCTTCTGCTCTCTCTCTATCTCTCCCTCTCTCAGTTCTCGCTTACTATCTTTCTCTTTCTCTTTGTCTCTATTCTTCCATTTTCTATACTTGTCGCTCTCCCTCTCTCTCTCCCTCCCCCTTTTTCTCTCTCTCCCTCTCTCCCCCTCTCTATCTCTCTCTTTCTCTCTCTGTCTAATATATATATTTCCGTATTCCATCTGAAGCTCATTTTATGTTGGTGAACATTAATTCATATAACTCCTCATATGTTTTATACCCACACAAAGTATATCGTACCTCCTCCTCTACCCGTCTTTGTCTTTGTCTTAAATTTCTACACTTTTAGCCATTTCACGAAAAGCCAAATTAACTTGATGTCTTCAAATGTCTTGTGGGAGACGTACGAGTTTTGTGGTTTTCCAACGAAATTATACAGTTTGTAATTGCAATATGCAAATGAATATGCGCTTGTCGACTCCAAAGCACATACGTACACATGTACATACATATATATTGGGCCACTGGGTGGGCGCAGTCAGACGACAACAGCAACAACAACCACAGCAGCAGCTACAACAACAACAACAGCAAAGTCAGCTTGACATTTGAAACTTGAAATGTAAGTGAAAGATACAATCCCAATCTGTGTAGCCGTCGCTCTCATCGACATCGAAGCCCCAGACATTGTGCACAGACAACATAAGAACAGAAAGAGACAGTTAGAAAGAGAGAGGGAGAGAGATGCAGGAAGAGAAAGAGATAGGAAGATTCCTAAACTCTCGCATGTGCACATGATAAATGACGGCCTTTCGACAATTGCCTTCGCAATCGCATTTGGCAAATCGAAAATGAAATTAACACTTCTCCCCACACATCCAGATAGAACCCCATTGTACAATTACAATTACGATTCACAGATCTGGCAAAAGCCGCCCACAAAACAAACTGTTCGGATGCTTAATCTCCTTTCTCTGAGCCTCCCAGTCGACAATGACAGTTGCGGTCAAATTTGAAATCTTTCAACAACCTTAATAAAATAAATTAAATATTGTAATATATTTTGCTGTTTAACGAGAACTGTATTTAATTTTATATCAAATTTTGTGAAATGTTTATTCGATTTTTTTTAAATCATTTATTAAATTGAATTAAATTGGATTTTTGTTCTATTTTTTTGAATTCCTATTAATTCTCTTTAAAATATTATTCTTACTTGAGGAAACAAATAATATTTTAAGAGTACTAAAATTCATTTTACCATTGCTAAATTCTTACTCACAGTTTAATCACTAACATTATTCTAATTAAACAAATAATTTGAGAAACAAATTACATGGTTATGTTCGTTTACCATATCTGTCTCAATTTAAAATTAATTAATTTTAATTCCCATTTAAATTGCTTGATTCATAGCAAGCAGCTTATTTCCGCGAAGCAACAGGGCTGATACGCAGTCTGGCTCAGCCAGCTGGCGTCTGCTAGTGTGCATCCCTGGTAACTGTGTGTTTGTTTAGTTTTTGTGCGAATTATTTTGTTTTTCTGTCCAATAATTGGTGTGCAATAAGTAGTTAATTGTGTTAAAGATGAGTGCGAGCGACACAACAAAGCAACTATCGATTGTGGATATACGAAATTATATGCTGCAAAACGACGGCAAGGTGACAAATCATGCTCTCGTCAAGCACTTCAAGAAATATCTAACGCACACACAAAGTGAGTCAGAGACAAATTTATGTGTATTCGCATATTTGACAACAACCTGTTGACATCATAGAGTAATGCAATCTGATAGGTAAACTAAGCCCTACTGAAATCTCAATTTCAGATGAGGCCGAGGCACGAAAACGCTTCAAAACTTATGTGACGCTGCTCTCCACCATCAAGAATGAAAACAATCAAAAGTATTTAATACTGCGCAAAAAGTATATCAATGAGTGCCCGAGCGAAGAGGTTGTGGAACGCGCCGTCGCGGCTGCGGGCACTGCCTCTGCGCCCTCCAGCCCGGGAGCTGCTTCCATAGTGTCCGTAACCGATAGCGGCATGTCGCCAATGAGGCAGCCGCCGCCCTATAAAGCGCCGCCCGAGGTGCAGCAGTCGCCAGCACCAGAGCCTGAACCAAGTGCTCCAGTGATCGCCGGCTTGGCTGTGCATCAGGATCAAGTGGAGACCTATCGCGAGTGCGTTAACGAATTCACAGCTGCCATGCAACGCATTGACCCGGCACGCCTCGTGCGCCAATCCGACATCGACAAGAAGAACGAACAAGACGCCGAAACTAATCCCAACGGTAACGCCGATGTCAATGCCGCTGCCACTACTGCTGCCGCTGCCGATACCAATGGCAATATCAATGCGGAGACCAATGCCGATCCTGATATTAATGGCAATGCCAAGTCTATATCTCGGGTGAATTCCGTGGACGAGGGCAGCAATAAGGAAAATATACCGCGTTTCTCCTTCTCGTCGGGCACCTCCACTGATAGCTCCTCCGCAGAGAAGGCAGACACAGCTGAGAATCCCATCAGTGTTAAGGAAGCGACACGCAAATTCAACCGGATGGCCTCCGAAGAGGAGGCGAAAATAATATCGCCGCCGCCCAAGAAAAAGCCAGAAAAGGTATGTCTTCTTTATGTTTAACAAAAACCGGTTAATTAACCCATGCGAATATGGATGCGGGTGCGGGTGCGGGTACAACTGCTTCCCATTGCCTAAACTAAACAGTTCCACATCGCTGCTGCTGCTGCAGTTCCAACCAGACTCTGTCTTACTTCCTGTGGGAAGTGTTTAGTGTTTTTTCTTTTGCATAAAACAAATTTGTCTGTTCTTATTGGCAACTAACAGAATTCCAAGACATATTTGACCTGGCCTACACAGATTCTTTGAACTAGTTCGCATAGCAATAGAGATATGAGGGTGTTTTTACCTGACACGCGGGCACTTAGATCCCACTCTCACTACCTCTTCCTCTCTCTCTCTTTCTCAGTCGGTCTCTTTCTCAAATATAGCTCGAGTGGAACTGCTGGTCACGAACTAGCACTACCAGCACATTCGACTTGTACATATCCATTAATTTTATTCTCCTACAATAAAATGTGAGATTCATAAACATTACAAGCGTCCGCTACAATGTGTTTTCGTCACATATTCTTTTGTAATATACATATAATTGTATATAGGTATATATGTATATATAAATGACATGCGTACATGCATTGAGCGACGCATGTACTATTGTTAAAGTACACACAAGTAAAATTTATTGAAAAGCAAGTTCTTTAATGTAATTGTTAAAGCTTTTCTTTATAGGAAAATCAGATGATTATACAATAAGCAAATGTAAAGAACAGTTTTCTTTATTTCTTATAGCAAATACCTATTACAATATCAAAACCATGATTTCTCTACGCTCCTTTCGTAATAGCTTGAAAATCCAACATCTAACCGATGCAATATTCTTATATAAATTACTTTACTTATAATTAGCCATGCAGCAACTCAACTTGTTCCCTTTGAGCATGCATTGAGCAAATTTTAAAAATATATATTACTTATATATATAGCTGGTATATCGGCCATTACATATAGCTGACAATAAAAGGCGACAACATGTTAAAATTTGTCAAGCGTTACGAGAAAATCGTTTCGTAGCAAATGTTGCGAGCTAAAGACGAAGGCAATTACCATTTGGGCCCGAGCATTGACAAACAACTGTCATCCACTCAGGGCTGTCAATCAAAAGTGTTTAGGGTTTAGGCATAGGCAACTGCATAAATCATTCCGCTACGTCCGGCCAAGATGAATATGTCTATGTCTATACCCCCCCGCCCACAGATATTCCCGAACGAGCCAGGCGACAGGCGCAGCAGCAGTAGATGTATGTCAAAAGCGAACTCCGAATTGTCAACTGCATGTCAAGCGCTATAAAAACTCAACTCAACACTCGACTAAAACACTAACGAAAAAGACTTAAGTGTTTATTTGTGCACACACACACAGACACGCACTCGCTTCCACTTATGTGTGTTAAATTAATGTTTACATATATCGAATCGTCTTGGAGCGTCTAAGAATCACAGCATTTATGTTAGGTTTCTCACGTTTTTCATGTTTCCGGATTAATGTGGCCCGAATTACATGCAGACAACGATATTTCCTCTTTTAGCTGTTGTACAAAATATGATTTTAAACAGGGTATTTGCAGATATTTATGTACACTGTGATCTGTATTTCCTAGCCTATATTATGATTTTTAAGAATATATTTTCTATTATTAACAATCCTTTACATATTCCCATTATTCCCAAACCTAGTTAGATATCTCATTACAAATCATTCGAAAGTTATCTAGGATCGATGATCTGATATTCAAGACAGTTTCATGAACTGTTTCATGCTCATCATTGTCGAAACCGTGGAACCTGTAAAAATTGTTAACAAATCTGTGCGCTAACAAGCCAAATCAACATTCAAAAATACAAAAGAAAATGAAAGAAAAAAGTAAATAAATAAAAAATTTTGATAGACGGCGCCACCAATCTTTATCTATCACAAACCCAATGTATGTGAAACCCCCTTGATGAATTATGTTTAATACAAATATTATTAATCATCTCAGAAATTGTGGAAAAAGTGCCAAATCATTCATGAAAGAGTTTCGAAATGGAATTCTGCCCCTTCTGCTTCTGCTTCTTCGTCGTCTTTTGCTTCTTCTTCTTGTTCCATAGATCCATCAATATTATAGACCGTGAAATTTAGGCGCCGCAACCGTAAGCGCTGCGGGTCAAATATGCCTGCGAGCTGATCAATTAAATTCGTTTCGAGTGTTTTTAATTAGCTTCATGAGTTGGCACTTTGCGCATTTAGTCAGCACCCACTGTAGCCTCGACACATACAACTATTTAAATTGCTTAGCTATCGTTGAGCTGCAGTTAATTTCAGATGTAGATAACTGTCCAGTGTGTTTATTAAACTTGACTTTTAATAGAAAAAATGTTAATCCGAAGAGAAACTTAAAATACATAGAACGAATAAAAGAAACTATTAAAGACACTATTGAAGAACTTTTTTTCTTAATCTTTCTACTAGATTTCCAGAAATAAATGTATAAAAGATTTGTAATTTGTAAAACGAGCTAAGCATCGTTACTCAGTAAAGTGAGTATTCAGGACACATAAGGGGCTCCCCACCAAATTTCCCCTATTCGACTCTTTAATAATTTCCTAAGCTCTCCCAACAGTTTGGTCGAGCTTTAAACCAACTTTGGCTCAATTTTAATATGAGACAAATCTGGGCAACTTCATTGAACCCGCTCCACACCATATTTGCAGGGAATAGTGTTTGCCCAACACTAAATTGAGAATTTTGAAACAACCCTAAATTCCATTTATGCTCCGTTTAGAAGGCATTGAAATGAAACTCCAACTGCAGCATCAAACAAACCACATATATTTTTATTAACCCACAAGGTACTTTGGTGGCCAAAGTCCGTGTCCCAATATGCATATTAAGCCCGAATGAGAGGTTGGTCCTGCCAGAGAGAGAGAGAGAGAGAGAGAGAGAGCGAGAGGGAGATAAAGGGGGCGAGATAGAGAAAACCCTTTTTTGGATAGAAACAAGTTGGTGAAACATGTTAACATAGCCAATAAGCAGCAATAGAAATTAGTTAGGCAAAGCTATAGTCATCAGGCAGGAAGGCGGGCGAGCGACCGAACGACCGACCGACCACAAAGGACCCAATTAAAAATGTAAGGAAACAAACCAAAAGTTGTTATTGCTGTTAAACAACAACGCCGTATGTCCCGAAGCGGTTAAATTTACAAACAGCAACAATGTCGACCCGATCGAAGCGGACAATGGCACAGCGGACTGCGAGTGACTACGGGCGGAAGGCATACGGCAATACGGAATACGGCAAACATGACCATTTTGTGGCTTCATTCCGTTTTTTCTCTAGTTTCTTTTTTTTTTTTGTGTGTTTTTGAAAAGGGAGTCAAAGGTAAGTTTCGGGTGGCAAACGCAAACACAGCGAACGACGAGGACATGCTACAGTCTGCTCTGGTCTCTGGTCTCTGCTGTGCTCTGGTGTGGTTTGGTCCGATCTGCAGCCGGACAATGGCCAGCCGTGTGATATAATATCTTGCATAAAGGGACACACACAGGACATAAGAAAGCCAGTCAGCAAACAAGCGATTGGGGAGAACTGCCCCCAACTTGAACTGGGAGGTGGCCGTGCCCAATGACGACGACGTCGACGACGACGAGTAGCAGCAGTCGTCGGCAACATTTTCCTTTTTTTTTTTTCGATTTTTTTTTTTTGGTTTGGTTTGTGTGTGTGGGTGGCTACTTGGGGGCGTTACGGTTCTTTTGTTTAGCATTGACATGGCCACTTTGCCCGGGGCCTTACTTTGCAATGTTTGTCCTGTTATGTTGCTGTTGCCGTAGCCGTAGCTGTAGCTCTGGCTCTGTTTCGGTCTCATTTGCTCTCTCGCTCACCTTGTCGGCTATTCGGCAAACGGCAAACGGCAATGCGGCGTGTGGCATGCGGCATGCGGCATGCGGCATACGGCATTTGCAAATGGCGCCACCTGAAGCGGGTGGTTAACGGGATTTAAGCACGGCGGCGAGTAATTGGAAAAACGTGAGCACTCCCAAAGTCAAGTGGCGTGTAAATATATGAAAGGAGTTACGGCTGCTGCTGCTGCATCCTGCGGCTAAATGCCCCAACCATGTGTATGCCGCATTTATTAGCTATGTGTAACATAACGTAACGAAGCGAGTGCTGTTTGCTCTTCATCTTCTTTTTTTTTTATTATTTTGTTGCCGTTTAGTGGGGGTGTGGCATGCAGAGAGTTACAGGTAAGCAAATGCCTGACTCTTTTGCAGCCTTGTTAGCAAACGCGAAACATTATGCGAATGGATAATTAGTTGCCGAAAATGTTTTCAGCGCTCGTAAATATGAGAGGCAAGCACACATGTTGCCAGCTATTGTTGTCGTTGTTGTTGTTGTTGTTGTTGTTGTTGCTGATGTGGCACATGTGTCTGCCTGCGCCCCTCGCTCATTAGAGTGCTCATTATCAATGGGAATGCGTGGTGGTTAAACAGCTACCCATTCCCGAAACAAAAAACGAAGAAAAAACATGAGGCACAAATACTGGAGTGAGAGAGGGAGCGGGAGAGAGAACAAGAACTTTTTGGAGCTCTATTTCATTTAGCGCATCGCTAAAGAAAACCCGGCGCACCAAATGCCTAAAGCACGCGCCTAATAAATAAAAATTATTACCTTCATAATTATGGCAAGAACATGCCGTCGTCGTCGAATGTGTGCGCATAATTATGCCAGCTTTTTACACTCGCATAGAAAGCGAGCGAGAGAGAGAGAGGGGGGAGAGGGAGTGGGAGAATCCCAATCCCGCCCAGAAACCGTGTGGCTGCTACAACGATTGCCTTGCCACATGTGAGTGTGTGTGTGAGTGTGTGTGTGTGTTTGAGTGTGTGTGTGTGTGTTCTAAGATGTGTTGGCGTTAATGCTTTCAATGGGCTTTCTATGTTTTATGCCCGTTTCACATATATGCATATATATATATGGTAGATATAATTTTTGTTTTTAATGCCCCGCCCCCGCCTCGCTGCTGTAGGCCTATTCCGAATTTTGTAAAATGTTGTGACAGAAACATGCATAATTAATTTATGCGCTTTGGTAACCCGTTTTTATGTCTTTCAGCAGCTAATTGAGGAAAAGGACTCACCCGATGTCACATTGTCACATCCGAAAGCCAAGGAATGGATTGTCGCCATGGCCAAAGTCAATTATCAGGAGCTCGCTAAGTTAGCTAATGATTATCCAGAGCTCGTCAAATTGCAGGTTAGTAAAAAGATTATAATTTGTTGTATTATATTTATAAATATAGCACTGCTATATATACTGTACTGTGTCTATTACACGTATGTTTGAAGGGAATTTAATTTGAGTTCCTCCACAGATGAAATATAAGGTCTTCCTGGATTGTTCAGCGATAAGATTTGATTTCCGCTCAATTTTTTAATACCAAATAAGCACTGTTCAGCTATTAGTTCTACTCCAACATTGTGCAGAGAATTTTAAATGAGCTCAGATTGCGTCTCACTAATTGTAATTTCTAATTTCGTACAGTTAATTATGCCTGCATTTTTGCCTAAAATTAACTTTAATTTAGGATTTCAAACTATTCCAATAGCTGTTTTACAGTTAGCCTAACATTTATTAGCCACGATTTGTCAGTTGAGATTAGCCAAGAAGAAGAAGAGGAGGAAAAGCGAAGCCAACACACAATGCCTGAGGCAGAGGCAGAGGCAGAGGCAGGCGCAATCATTGGCTCGACTTAAGCAGCTCGAACAAATAAAGACAAGTACAAACTATTCATAAGCATTAATTACGACAAATTAAGCAGCAACGCGTTGCTTTTGCCATGTTGAACAACATTTAAAAATGCGAGAGGAGAAAAAAAATAAGATATATATATGTGTATGTGCATATGTATGTATGTATATATAATGACAGTTGGCGGCGGCAGTACGTGGCACAAAAAAAAAAATAATATCAGAAAAGTAAAGCGCTGCCAGCCCCAGTTGCTGCCTCTGACAATTAATTGTGAAATATGTTTTTCAAAATTTTTAGCACTTGTAGTGCATGTTTTCTCTAAAAAAAAAAAAACTAGAAAAATAATAATACGAACTGAAAAAGTGGGCGTTAGCTGAGGAAACAATTTTTCCGAGCGAGAGCGTGGGCCTCGAAACAAGCTGCGACAATTGCCATTAGGCGAGAGGCAGTCGGCAAATGCAGCCAAAACTTGACCCACTAGGATGGACCAAAACGTGCACAACAAATACACTTACACACACACACACACACAGAGTGTTGTATATCTGTGTGTGAGTGTATGTTCTGGTACATGTAATTTCCATTTTGGACAGACAATTGTATACAAGCGTTTGACAGAACACGTGTTTATATTTGTACTCGCTCTCATCAGAGCGATTTTAAGCAATGCTTTTTACAAGCCCCGCAATTGTCGCCGGTAATAGAACAGCTATAAACACATGTTTAATCAAATTATATAGCTGGTAGTCTACATCTACGTCTACATCGATGTCGACGTCGATGTGATATCAAAGGCGAACACACAAATGTCACAAATGATTAAAAACTGAGTTAAGAAATAGAATTATTTCTGACATCGAGCAGACGAAACAATTTTGCGCTAACTTATTGTTGTAGATAAATGTCATATTAAATGGTCATAAATTAGCTTGCCCAACAATTTATTAAACTACGTTTATTTTGTTTTTCTTCTAATATATATGACAGCACTCGAAATACAGAACATTTTCGATAGGGTCGTGCGGGTGGGCTGGGAAACTCTACGAAAATATTTTCCCCCAAAAAATACAAAAAAAAAAAAAAAAATGAACCGAAAATATTTGCTAAAAGGAGGCAATCTTTGGGGACTGCTGCCTGCTGCGGTGTCTCTCAATTAGAGAACATTTTGGGTCCCACAAATATACATATTTTTATGTGTGGCATGGCTCTGGCTTCTGCCGCTGCTGCTGTGCCCTCTACACGATATTTCCATGAAGATGATTTATGCCAGCCGCAAGCGAACATGGGTCGCACTCCCGAACGATACCAGCTCGGAGTCGAATGAGCAAGCCTTAACTTATGCGAACTAATTGCCGTACAAATGCAATGTTCCCGGAAATAATGGATTCCGTACTTTATACTATATATGTATGTATGCAAATCTTGAATGCCATAAGTGCAATCAATTAATACGAGAGCGCATCTCGTCCTCTATCTCTCCCCGCCCTCTTGAGTGCAAGTGTGAACGAATGGCAGGCAGCTCATTAGCGGCGCTTGCAATTCCCCGAATCACTGAAATCGCAATGAGACGGAAATAGCAATAAATCAGAGACACGATTGTCACTTAACCTAATGTCTCAACTCGTTCCCAGCACGCACGCACGCACGATCTCACTGCCAATCTTATAGTGCTCTCTATACATATATATATATAAGATTGGTTTATTCATGATCTTGCAGTTTAGTTAATGATTTGATAAGCTTATATAGCAGTTGAATGAATTTAGTTAAAGAATTGTTAACTTTATTTCTGATTTCCATGAAATTTGCAATCTACAACTACAACTCTTTTAATATTTATCATATTTTATCTAACTATTCCATTTAGCTATTCGATGTTGGTTTGCTCTCTGTAGTTAATAGTTGTTTGTATTTCAAGTTTAATTAAAATTTCTGCAATCAGCAGCTGCCGAAATAACAAAGCTCCGGACTCATTTCGAATTCAGCTACGCTCTAGGCCTGCCAAATCCTTTTTTCCTTTTTCCCCATTTTCAGACTCTGCACACATGCGACTGGCATCATGTGGCCACATGTCCATCCTCTCTATCTACATTTATGCATATGTATGCACGTCTATGTCTAGGTATGCTAATAGTAGGCGCTTATAAAGTGTAACAAGTTTTGTATTAATTAAAAACTTTAGCTGCCGAATGTCCATGTATGTGAATGTATTGTGTGTGTAGTTTTAGCAATTTCTATTTGTATACCCTGTAAATATTAAAGGGTGGGTAAGAAAGCGTGTAAGAGAGGAGTACTAACGGAAAATATATAATAATTTGCGTCTATTCTTATTAAATGTGATATATTCATATTACGAAATTGTTAACTGAAACAGCTCATCAACTTATCGATAATTAACGATTTGTAAACTCGTTTTTTTAGGCATATCTCGAGATATATAGAACCGATTCACATGAAATTTTTAAGGCAAATGCGCGTCAACTATATATAGCTTAATGATAAATCCTTTCTGGAAACTCCAATCAAAAAATATAAATAAACTGATTGTTTTCTGCCCAATCCAGGTAACTTCTAGTCATGACTCGTCCACTCTTCATTCATTTTCTATTACCTAACAATGTAAATACCTATATAGTGAATACAACTATGAACACTCACTTGCACTCAATTACGAATACGAATAGTCGCAAGCATGCTACACGTGCTGCATGTGGAATGAAACGCGAGTTTTTGACTGTTTGTTTGCCGTCGCATCGGTTCTTTTGGGTGGGGCACAGCGTGGTCAGCTTTGAGTGGGGGGAAGGGGGGAGGAGCAAGCGGACCGCCCAATAGTCGAGCATGCAACGTTTTGCCATTTCAGCTTGTAGCCATTGTAGTTACTCTTGTTGCTGTTGTTGTGCGTCCCTTTCATTCAGTCATCCATGCAGCCATATACGAACTGCCATCCAACCAACCATCCATCCATCCATCAACGTGTTTGACCTAGCCGGCAATTCGGCTTGACATGCGAGTAAATTGAATTTTCCTTGTTTCACATTTGTTTTGACTTGTTTTTACTTTGTTTTTCCTTTTTGATTTTGGCTGTGTGTTGTTCGAATTACTTATTCAAATTAAAAAACAATTTTTTTTTTCTTTTTTTTTTTGTATTATTTTTGCTGCATATGAACAATGACTGGGCACAAAAATGTTGTCGATGTTTCACCTTCAACTCTTTCCACTATTTACATAGTACATACGTGCGCGTATGTGTGTGTGTATTAGCATATGCAAACATACATACATATATGTAAGTATGTGTTTTGGCATTTCAAAGTGTCAGTGTGTTTTTTTTTCTTTAGATGAAACATGCTGGCTTTGCCTCGTTAATTATAACTCCCAACAGCCATTTACAGCTTAAGCTTAGTCAAGAGCTATAATTCTTTTCATTCCAGCTACAAATTGATTAAGTATAGCTATATTATATTATATTTATTTTACTCCTTAAAAGATCTGTCTGAATCGAATCGAACCCAAGAATATTTTTCTACTGTCTGCTATAAAATATTATACGAATTGCAGGGTATTTAAATACCTGTAAAAAAGGAAAATTAGCAGGAAAAAAACAAACTCTAGTTATGTACCTATGCCGGTATTTAATCTTTGATGTTGAGATTTGGCTACCTGTTTCACTTAGACCCACTTTTCCGCTGGTAGCCGGGCCAAGCCATAGGTGAAAGTAATTGAAAGCCGGCTGGCTTTTGATGAATGATAGTCGTATACCCCAACTACTGCCGGCTGCCCTCGCAATGCCTGTGGCGCCCAGAGCGCTCTAAACTCAAAGGTGAAATTGTAGAAATGACCGTGAACTTTTCAGCAGGTCGTCAAAGAACAGCCATAAAACGTCTGACACCTTTTGCCAGAGACACTGTCGGCCGGTATTATAATAAAAATTTAACCCACAGCAAATGTCAGAAGCGTCAACAGTGGCGCCTTTTACCAGGTCTCTTCTAAATCCGTCTACATCGGAATACAGAAGAAGAACATCAAAAACGAATAGAACTTGTTGAAATACTGACTCGATCTGCCCCGTTCCGCCCCGTTCTGCTCCGCTCTGGTCTGCCCTCGGGCTGTGGCCATTAAATTGGAGGTGACAATTCAATCAACGCATCCGCCAAAGCAGCCGACGTGAAATGACTGAATCCTTTCCAGAAATCAAATCAAATGTGTTTACGACCCCAATCTTGACATCTTTTGCCGACTGGCGGGGCTGCATCGCCTCGTTGGTGGCTTGGCACAATTTTATGCCGTTGCGTAGCTATTAAATTTAATTAGAGCTCTCTGCTGTCGCTACCGCCATTGGCCGTCAGCGGCACATAAATGTCACCAAAAATATTCTACTGAAATACAGATATATATATATATATATGTATGTGTATATATGTGCATATATATGTATCAAATGATGCCGCCTGCTGCGCACAGTGTTCAAGAAGTACGACTGTGTGTCTCTCTTTATTTAGCTCCCC